AAAGAGTGTAGGCCCTGATCCAGCAAAGCACTTAGCTTAAAATTAAATTAAATTTAAACTGTGCTTAACTGGAAGAAGATAAAGAGAACCATGGTAGTCAGCGGCACTGCTTGCATGCTGAAAAGTTTAAGCCTGTGCTCAACTGCTTATTTGGATCATGGCCGGAGGGTCACTGCTTCCCAGCCCTTTCTTCCCAGGTCTGTGGGAATATTTGGCAACCTTTTTACCTGCCTTTTTTTGCCTGTGCCTCTCTCTCCTAGGGCATGCGGCCTGTTACCTTGGTTGGCTTCAGTCTGGGCGCAAGGGTCATTTACTTCTGCCTTCAAGAGATGGCTCAAGAGAAAGGTAGGGTCCAACAGTTAACTCACTTCTCATTTATTCTTCTTCTGCATTTCTGTATGAATGTGGTAGTGGAAGTTGTGCCAGTGACTCAGGAGAGCCAAGCTTCTACTGTAGCCATAGAAAGACAGTACAGTCATACACCACAACCTCATGCTGCTTCAGTCTGAACCTGGCTGGACAGCCCTCCAGGGCTGGAAGAGTAGTCCAGTCTCCACGTTCTGTTCATGGCTACTTTTCTGAGCCATTCAACAAAGGTGCCAGGTATTGGTGGTTGCGAATCTGTGTAGACAGCTCTGCAAGGAAAGCCTAGGGATTATTTTGTATTAGGCCAAAGGAGATGGAACCTGCTCTTTTCTGCAAATACCAGTATTCAGTGGGTCTGAGCAGGGACACTCCAGTGCACACCTGACTAGACCACTGCAATGCACAGGAGTAATTCAGACCCCAGGGCAAAGCTGACGTGAAGTGACCTACGGATCAGTGCATATTAAAACAGCAAGGCAACATGTGGTCTCACAGCTCAGCTCCTTCCTGTCAGTAGTAGATATAACTCATGCAGGGCAGTGGTCTGTGGGATGCAATGATGCTGAAAGGTATGGACCATAGTTTCCAGTCTTATTCTGTGTCTCAAAGCTCTCCTCCACCACTCCAGCCGAAGACAGCCTGTGAAACAGCATCTGCTGGTTCTGGAAGGCAGCAAAAGTAGGCATGAATAATTTCTGCCCCAGTGAATTTATATTCTTTGCAGGTAAGTTTGCAGCCGATGATATTTATTTCCCAGGATGTTTCCTTTGATATAAATCCACAACGTGGTTTTGAAATACATGCAGAGTGAAATACTGCTGCCATTTACACAATGTAAATGCGGGATCCCTCCACTGACTTGGATAGAGTTGCTTCTTCCTAACACCAGTGTAACCCACAGTAGTGTTTGGCCATCTGTCTGCGAACGGTTCTCCTGCTATCCTGTGACGTTTGACTGGTGGATCTGTTTGTGAGCTGCCCACGCTTCACTGTGAACTTGGCAGAAGATGCTTTGCCTTTATTGGAAGTTCTCTGTAGCTATTGTATCTGATTCCATGAGTCCTCCCTTCCACTTAAATCAGTGAAATGCTGCTGTCATTTGCTATTTTGATGGTAATTTTTCCCTAAAGTCAGGCATAAAACCATCTGTCAGTTTATTATCAGTTGTGGTTTTTGTTTATTAATAGATTCTATTTTTAATTCAGAAAAAAAGATTAAAGTCATAATGATCAGTTGATGTAAATTGCATGTTGAAGTTGAGTCAGTCATGTGTATGCAGCCTTCCCCCATAGCCAATTTAATTCATTAACCATTTAGCCTCACAGAATGTAGCTAATAAGTAGGGAGCTTTAGCCAAGCAAATACTCACTGGCAAGCATTAAGCCAGCATGAGGGAATGAAGGAGAAGGTCAGCTTCCTTTCTGTTTACAGCCATGTGCCAGGATTTCAATCCTGGCTTCGGATGAACAACCCCAAAGAAAGAGATACCGGTGTAACGCACGGGGTGTGATTCTGCAGTCGCTTGCAGCAAAAGAAACCTTCTCAGGACCCCTCTAGCTTCTCTGTGGTGAAACTCAATCCCATATGTGGCCCCACATTTACTTTTTTGTCCTCAACGCTCTGAAAATGTCAAGGGCTGAGATGTTTTCAGGGTTTCATTAGCCGTTAATAGCCTGCAGTCTCCCTCAGTGGGACAGCCCAGCACCATGGCTAAGTAACACGTGAAAGGGAATCGTTAGGGTTATTTTGGCTTGTTGCCAGTCTAAAGAAATCCGAGCATCATACTCTACATATCACAGCAGCTCCCCACTGCACATTGATTTCCAGCTCTCTAATTGAATTATGAAAGCTGAGTTGCTCGAGAGACTGAAAGCAACATGTTTAGTGCAGATGGCCAGTGCATTCTTCAAATGCACATTCCAGCAGCAAGCCACAGAAAGAAGGAAGCAGTGACCTGGGACATCTGGGTCTGGTTTGGATTTGGACTCTAAAGATTCATATAAAATCAACCTCGGGCTCAGTCTTCTCAGTCTCTGTTGTATACAGACTCCAGGGGCCATTTCATGGCAGTGTTAGAAGAGAATTTGTGGAAATGGGGTGGGGGGGGCTTCCTAGCTCTTTGCAGTAGGTACCTCGGCTGTGATGGGCACCATTTCCTTGACTAGTAGGTGCTGCAAGGCCTTCATGCTGACTCGCTCCAACGGTATGGATTTATTGTGTAAACCTCAGGCTGTTGATTTATACTAATCCTGTCCAATTCACACCAGGCTATTCTTCTCATCTTAAATTGCATTGCTAGTTTTACACACGGGTAATCCACTTATCCAATGGAACAATTTTTCTAATCACAGGAATGCTCCCTTCACTTGAATTTTGGCCCAGAAAATAAAAAGTCCAGTAATCCATTCCAATCCCGTATCGTTGTCCGTGTTCTGTTCTCCACAGGCGTGTAAGAACAATATATTGAACAGAAGTGAAAAGTCGCACATTACATTACATGTTATATTAATAATGAGCATAGGGTTTCCTGGAATAGTATAGGTGATGATAGTGTCTTTCTACCACATATCTCCATCTTTAGCCCAATAAAACCCCATGTATGTAACCTTCCAAATCCCTATTGGAAAGCTGACAAAATCGATCCCAAAGAGTGGTCATAACTTGCAGGTTCAGCTTGTGTTGCCCATGCCTTTTCCAGCATTATTTTCCTTTCACTAGACGAATGGAGCTGCTCTCATTACAGAAATATTATTTAGTAGCTTGCAGGCAGTGGGACTTGGTAATCTCACTGGACCCCCCAATACTCTCATACCAAATCCCACTAGAATGCATAATATCTAAGCATTTGGACAAGTGGAATAAAAGCTTTTTTCCTTTTCACTTGTCCGGAAAGAATCAATGATATTCATGCGTCAGAAGCAAAAATAGGCTGTAAAATGTATTAAACCCAAGAGGGGCTGACTGCCTGAATCTTTTCTTTGCACATTTTATCCAGAATCATTATTTTTTTTTTCATTTTCTTGTGCATATGGGCTTTATTATCCTTCATCAGTCAGAAAGATTTGTGGACCATGGGACACGTATGATTAAGCAGCGTGGTCATAACCAGGCGTATCAGTGATCTGTATTCTCAGGCTTTGCTCCTTACATGCCAAGGTTGAGCATCTTCATTTTAAGCAAGAAACGAGCAGCACAAAGGATTTCCAAAACCAAGCTTAGCTCCAGTATTAAGGCTCCTGATGTGTGAGCTACTTGTTCATTCAGTTGGCTTACATTACTGATAAGAGATTTATTATCCTGACTAGAATTATTTTCCCATGCACATGACTCTGGTTTTTTTCATTCCCACTGCTCGCGAATGCAGCGTTCTTCTTGCTCAAAGATTAAGCTAACAAAATCAAATTGCTGTTCTCCATTCTCTTAATATGGGGGAAATTTGTTTTGTAATTAAGAAACAATGCTCAGCAAGCTCATTTGGGATTCCTGTCAGGAACTGGGATTTGTATCATCGTCAAATGGGGCTGAATGATGCTTTTCTGTTCCGGGCTCCAAGTCATCACTGCTGTTAGAGCAAAGAAGTGATCTGTACTGGTGTTAAGGAATCGGCACCTCCTGGGTCATGACTTGATGCACTGAGTAGTTGCCCTCACTTTTTTATTTGTTCATAACCCAAAATCTCTTGTTATATAAACTAAGTAAACTATCCAGATCAAGGCCTAGGCACAGAGAGATGCTGTTTAGTGGTGGAGAGTGCATTTGGCAGCGTACATAGTACATGGGATGGGATTCTAGCAGCTATATCTTGTCCTAACAAGGAATGCTGCTTGTCGTCCTTCTAGACTCTGAAGGAATCGTCGAGGACGTGGTCCTGTTGGGAGCTCCAGTGGAAGGAGAAGCCAAGTACTGGAAAGCTTGCGCTAAGGTGGTGTCAGGAAGGATCATAAATGGCTACTGCAGGTCCGTATAATCGCTGTCCCTCATCTCACCCTGGCTGGGTCGCTTTATTCCTTTTAACCATTTCATAAGAGAATAGTTTTGGAGCTAGTGAAAACATTGGTCCAACAAACCCAGAGACTGAAGTGTTAAGGCGCTCTCAGCTGACGGCCCTTTCCTGTGCCGTTCACTCCCTCTTAAGATAGCCATTACTTGGATTTGATGGTCTCCAGGGAACAAGAGGAGCCTTGGTGTTTAGTTCTTAGTCCTTATTCACACTAAGGCAAATTTACACTACTCTGGCAGTGTAAGATACCTCCAAGGTGGGTATAAATGTAACGCTCTCTTTAAGGTTCTCTTGAAATCTCATGTGAAAGGATTGTCAATGAGAATCCAGCTGTGAAATTCACTGCAAATTAAAATCGAGCACTGATATGTATTTACAGATGTCAAAACACTAAGGAAATACCAATTTCCCTATAAATCAGTGCGAGCGTGTGCGTGTCAAATAATAGAAAGTATTATGTTTACATCAACACACCCCTTCCCCTTCGATGTACAGCTTGTATGCATCAACATACAGAATTCATAATATACATGGGGGGAAATAGGGGTGTGTTTATATACATGTAGTACTTTACTGTTATTTTACATACCTTCAAACAAACAGTGGAGAAAAATTAGAAAGATGGTCACTTGAGATTAAAACCACAAACTTTCATTAAGTTCATCTCCCTGGTTGATCTGGGAAATACTACTTTTGCTTATTTTGAATCGTGAGCTTTTATAGATACCAGATGTGCACGCAAAATACTTTATAACGTCATGTAACATAACAGAAAGAACAACTGCTGCTCCTGGAGATTAGTTACTGAGGGATCAGCGAGTGCTTCTGTTTTCCTCCAAGAAACTATCACTGCTTAGCAATTTATGTGGATAGCCAAATTTGCCGTGACAATATTATTCATCTCCACATAGCTCAATAACTGCCATTTATTTCGGTGTGAAAAGCACGGTACATTAATTTCCTGAAAAGTAAAGGAAATAATCTTATTATAAATTTCAAAACCTGAATGCACTGCTAAAATAAAATAGGTTTCATGTTCCAGTGAGTCTTTTTCTACTTGGTAAACCCCATGACTTGACTGTTCAACGGACAATAAATAAATTGCAGTGCTGTTGCTCTCATGTAGGAATGAGACGGTGATAAGGTGAATATCCCAGTACATTGTTTGGCTACAATCCCTTGAGATGTTGCATTTAAAGATGCACAAAGGGTAGTGGGACGGGTGACTCAGAGAGGAAAGGGGGCTTTCTGTGAGAGTATCTGGAACGTGAGACAGGATTATGCTGTTTTTCCTGGTAAGACATCCACCTGAAATTGGAGACGCGGTGGTTTTCCTGCCTTGGGGCTCTTGGGAGGAATCCTAGAGAAGTCATAAAGGTGACTCGTAAGAGTAAGGTGTCTCGAGAGGACACAGGTACCTCAGTTCTCTTACTCAGAATGCTATTCCTGCTTTGATCCCAGGTCAGTCAAAGGTGTAGTAGTGGTTGAACCGTTATTAGCTGCGCTTCCTGATTTCCCCCCCCCCCCCCAATTTCTAGATTCCCTCGGTGCCTTCATGGATTACTTCAGGCTTAACATTTGTCTCATTTGTGTTTTACTGTCTTCCTAGGGGGGACTGGCTGCTGAGCTTTGTATACCGGACCTCCTCTGCGAAGCTCAACGTTGCAGGCCTTCAGCCAGTCAACTTGGATGACAGGAGAATGGTGAATGTGGACCTTTCATCGATAGTGAGTAACACTCTTCATATTCTTAGCATTTTACCTGTTCCTTAACTCAAATGTTTACAGCCTTGTGCTCAGCATTTGGAGAAAGGACGAGCCTCCAAAAAGGGAGTAACCCCGAGGAGGGCTCCAATCTTCCCAGCTTAGGTGCTCTCGCCTCGTAGCCCTATGCCTTCAGCAAAAACCCCGTGTCAGAGACCAGATGAAAGCTAGAATCAGAATGCTATTCCATGTAGATGTGTTGTTTCCATTGGGGATTTTTTTTTTTTTTTATTCTGAAATGTTTTGTTTTGGGGGAATGCCCATTTTTCCCCCA